AAGCCAAAAAAAGTTTAAGTCAATGATTTTTTTTTAATTCAATACTCCAAAGGCCCTTTTATCTTAATTTCTCTTAAATGCCTAGCAATATTTTTCAGAAGTTCACCTTTAAAATATTCTAAGTAGGTCCCTCATGCAAGTTTTAAGTTAGGAGGGACAATATGTAACTATAAATACAGGCATACGTGCCTGCACCTGTGCAGAACTGTCTTGTGGCTTTTTATATAAAAGTGCTGCAACAATGAAAAGAAAAAAATTCATTTTCCCTGTTGTTTGCTAAATTAACATCTTTTAGTGGCAAAGTTCTTTCAAAATTCATATTGAACTTGGCCTTTGGATTCTTCTTAGTAATTATAAACCATCACCACCTGCACCTTAAAGGGTTTTGTTTCTTCTTGAAAGGGGAGTATAAGCCAGCAGCCTGCTCTTCTACCAGCATTTCTATGGCCCAATTAAGATGTGATCCTCCAAACTGGGAAGATACAAATGCTTATTGATTACATACAGCACTGTGCTCTATTGTTGCCTTGATTTTAAGTTTTCTAAAGCCTTCTGAGTTTACATTCTATTGGAAAACTTTCCCATACAGTTTCTGTAAATAACATATTGTTTTGCATTCCTTCATGGGGGTGGAGAAACTTGATGTACTAGTGGTTTGTCCAATGTCTTTGGAGAGGTGGCCCATTCACTCTCCAATCCACTGTCACCTTTGGAAAAGTATAAAAGTTGGAGTCAGAAAATAAACTTCCTCTTTTACCTTGCAAAGTGGCAGGTGGCTTGCATTGTGCTTTCTCGTGTCCTATAGCGACACTCTATGACTACCATGGATTTTATGGAGTACCGTGGTCTTTCAAACTAAAACCTTTTGCTCCTGAAATACTCCCTTACTTCCAGAAAAACAAGGCATGACAAGAAGCTGGATGATTGGGAAAAAATAATTGAAAATAAAACCTGAATCCACTTAGCCATTTCAGTCCTATTTTCTGTGTAACTAAAACCTGCTTTCCCTGGGAGATTCCAGGAAAGGCCTCAAGTAGTTAAATCAGTGAGGCCATGATCAGGTCACATCAGAGACAGCACTGCTTTGACAGAACTATTAAATGAAAAAAGCAGCATCCCAGGGAAAAAGCCAAAACCAGATAATGAACCACAGCCCTTTACAGAGCAGTGTGTTCATCCCAACTCTTTCAGCCAAAAAAGCAAGCTTGACCTACCACCCAGCACCGTTAACAATCCAAACCCTTTCCACACTCTTTACCTTTCCTTATTGTCTTTCCACCTTTGCTCACAGATTCCTTAACTTACATATTACATGTATCTTGTCACTAATGAGTGTTTTTTTCTTCTACAGTCCTGTAATATGGATATTGAACAAACCTGTGTAAGAAGATCTGGTTTCTGCAGAAGGGACATGCAAATCAGATTAGACAGGGATTTATTGATCAGGCTGCCAGCTCTGCTTTTTAATATTGCCCTTCTTAGATACAGGCACTGCCAGGGTCTTACTGGGATTCTTGGTGACAGCTCAGGAGAGATTTTCTTTGGTACAATTCTTCGATTTCATGTTCTGAAGCTTGGTTGTTTTCCATGCACTTTGTTAGTATTGACAGACTCACAGAAAACTCCTGCCAAAGATTTCTAGCCTACTTTTTAAAGAGAACCAGAGAACTCAGTGAGAACATGAAAACAAGCCTACATGTTTGTTAGACCTAAAATAAAGGCACTTAAGTATTTCAGGGCATTTAGATGGTATAAAATTTTTTGGTTTTTTTTTTTTTTTCAGAGCAGACAAGCAATGAAGAATATTGACCATGTCTAAACATTTGGTAACCAAATTAAGGCAAGCCATTAGGGCTGAGAAACACAGCTGCTGTGTAACCTGTTAATATGCCCTGAGCTGTTGACAGGAAAACAACTTTTGTTGTAATTGATTTTAATGCTCCCTTAACAGCACAATAGCAAGTGTTTACAACCTGCTTCCTTCTGCTCCTCACCAGGACCAGTTCAAGAAGAGCAAAGAAACCTTATATCCCACTTTGATGAAGGTTTAAGACAGTAGGTCAGCTATGGACTATGAACAATCTCATTTCCCTAAATCAAAGCACCTTGTTTCATATCAAAGAGGTATGAAATGCTAGCAAATAGAAAAGATTATCTTAATGTATGATCTGGTGGATAGGTTGGTCCACTCAGTTCAGCCTTTTAGCCCAGCAGCAACACCAAGGGCACCCTCAGAATAAAATTTAAGTAATTACAGTCATGGTTTCCAGTTTGGCAAACACTCATACTACAACCCTATAATAGAATAACAAGCCCACATAAGTTTACATGCATTCACAAGTCCCTCACTGTAAGCTCTCAGCAGGGCAATTCAACCAAGATGGATCCAGCAGCATCTCGCCAGAGGAGCAGGCAGCTGGAATTCCTGCCTGGCACAACACACAAGAACACCAAGATTAAGAATAGGACTGGCAGCTCCACACACCCAACCTTGATCCACAGAAGCCCTGCAGCTGGCAATGCTCCTGCACAGCCCAGCCACCTGCCCTATCCTTACCACAGCAGACCCAGCTCGAGACCAGGCAGGTTTGCATTTCTCTTCACCAAAGATTGCAAGGTCAGGTCCCCATTTTTGCTCTTGGCTGTCCTCAGCAACTTCATTCGGCCTGCCCAAGGCGCGCTCTTGACCACTGTTACCTCTTTGGTCTTCACTGAATGGCAGAGGAGCCCAGGAAGAACAAGCAGCTCCCCCACCCCCTCCCTCACCTCCTGTGACAAGCTGCTCCTCCTGGGGAGAAAACAAGTCACCTTTTCTTCACAGACCTTGTCACAACCCCCTGACCAAGGATTCCTCATGGATCCTTCCAGCTGGCACCAGGCCCCCAGTATTAGCTCAGCACACTCACTGGTAGTCACCTTATTCTCCAGTATGGGGTGACTTCCAGTGCCCATGCCTGAGAGCATGAGAAAAGCAGGCGCAAATCTCTCCTCAAAGAGGCATGGGGTTTTTCCTCAAAAAAAAAATCACTTTATCTGCAGCATCCCTTTGGGATTGGAAGCAGATGTCCCCTTTTGCTTCTAGTGTGAGGGACAGAAGATGAGAAGAGTGCATAATATTCCCAGTCAACAACAAAATAAAGCTCTTTGTGAGCATCTGAAACTTACAATTTAAGAAGATGGTCATTTTTTTTATTGCAGCTAGTTTAACATGATCATTTTCATAAATGTAGAACAACTGTGCACGCACACATTGGCTGGAAATGTACAGATTGCACAGGAATGCAGACAGAAATCCCAATTTCATTCCCCACTGTGGCTTTGTCATGAAATCACTATTGCTTTTACTTGCTCAATAACATGTTCCAGTCAGGTAGAGATTGATAGAAACACTACAATGTATGTTATGCAAAGGTTTAATCAAGTAATTAAAATCCAAAGAGGGGAAGAAAGTAGAAAAAGTAGAAAAACTTCCCTGGTTTTTAAAAGCAGAAACTCCTGCTGGGAGAAAAGTTTTGCTACATAAAGACTACCTGACAATGCTGAAGTTCCCTTTATGTTAAATGGCTGGCAAATATTACTGAAAAATATTCAGCTTGTGCAGAAAACTAGAGAGCTATGAGACAGCAAATTTGGGGGATTCTTTTTTTAATAATTTATTTAGTAGTCAGACTAGGAGTTAACTATTGAAGCAGAAAATAATTAAATTTTTATTCATTACCTCTTTGTTTACTGGGTACATTCATTTCAATAGGTCAATGCAAATAACCAAAGACTTCTGTATTTACTTTCTAAACATTGTTTTACATTTAGAATGGCAAAAACTACTTGTGATTAGCCATAAGAAATTTAATTTAATCTGCATTCAAATGCTCAGAACAAACCTTCATTGATACCTTAAGGTCTGCATGATGTGAAGTGGCACATGAACAGAAGAAATCTTGCACTCACACCTCCCTGCCTTACAGGCACAAGTGACTGCCCCAAGTGGAACTCCTTCCTACACAGTGGTCATAGTGACCTCCACAGACCTGCAGTGGTGACCAAGTGAACACTCACAGCACACACACTGTACCTAATCCTGCTGACCCTGACTGCATTACAACTGTACAGTAAGCTTACTGTTAGCAGTTTGGCAAATGTCAGCAGAATGTTCTAGTACAGTTTCTCCACTGCTTGCTCAAGTGGGCAGGAGAGATTTAGAATCAGAACTTGCATCAAATCTCTCCTCTACAGGTTCTAGTCCTGTTCTTGTCTTTCACTGATCATTTATAATTTCTTCTTTCTCCAGAACACATTTTATATCCCATGCAGTGGAAAACATCTTAGGCTTCAAAACAAAAGTAGTATCAGTTTCATTAGATATTTAAAATAAAGAGCAAGTACTGTAGACAATCAACATAAAACACAGTTTATTTCCAACCATTTGCCTAATTCACATGCAGACTGGTTTATATTAATGACACTGCATTTAAAAATAGCTTGGTTAGCTTTTAACCTTAGTAGTATTGCTATACAGCTGAAGCTACACTGGTTAATATAATTTGTTTTCATTTAGAGAAATGTAGTTAGGTTGGTACTGAACACTTTGAGATTTTCCACAAAGAAATATTTATCCATTCTGTAACCTTTCTCCTGCACTCATCTTACCCCCATGAACATTTAATCTGTAAATCCCATGTTTGAAGACTATATTCTCCTGAATACATCAGTCAGGAGAAAACACTTGGAAACACAACAAATACAAAAAGATAACAAGGAAAAAATACAAGATTACAGAACTAACTGAAGTATTCTCCTGTACTATTTCAAGCTAGAATACTGATGCCTTAAATAATTCCCACATTTTAGCACTGACACAGAACTGCCATACACAAAGTATGTAAGCACGAGGAAAAGCTGTTTTGCAAGAGGTAGAAAAGGTTTTATAAAATATTTAGGCACAATTCTTAGCAGTTTTAAAAGCCAACAGAAAGTTACAAAGTAATAATCACCACTATACATGTATTTGTACAAGTTCTGTTTATTTTTACCCTTCAGAATAAAAGTATATTTCATGCACTCTCATATAATCTTTTTTCTCCTATATTGTTGGAAAACTGTTTTTCTCCTATATTGTATGTGATTACACAGGTTTTACAGGCTCTCAGGAAGTCTTGCCACCAGAACTTAAACAGAAAAACAGATGCACTATTACTTAATGCTTTTTCAAGAGAAGCAAGGGAATGCAAATGCTGTTTGTATAGGTTCATGTATCAAAGAACACAGAATCACACATAAAATCCATAAAAATATTATTAGTTCTTTTGGTTTACTCTCACCTCAATGAAGAAGAGAGCTTTTAGAAGTGAACTTTTTTAAAACACAAATTTTCACAAACGTTTGCTTTACAGTGCAGTGGTTATACTCAAATTTTCACAATACCTATAATCAAAAAACCAAGATCACTACATTTACCATGAGCTAAGAGACATTCACTTAGAGTCAGTTCAAACAGATGCTTTCCTTGACTTAAAGTATGTAAGGCTTTATGGGCAACAAGTTCTTATCAAAGATTTGCTTTATTCCTGTCTTAGCATTATTTCTTTGCTCATTTTACTTCTTCTCTTGGTCTTTTTCTGCATCCAGAAGTGCTGAACGGATTCCTAGTTTCTTCAGCTCTTCTACAAGATCTCCATTCTGATGCATCTGGAGGAGTATATCACAGCCACCAACAAATTCACCATTGAGGTACACTTGTGGGATGGTAGGCCAGTTGGAGTAGTTTTTTATTCCTGAATAAGAAAAAACAAAATTATTAGAGGCTTCCTCTCTCTCCTAATAGAATGGTATTTTAAAAGGACTGCATTGCTTCCACCTGACTCTTTCACTGATATTCCAATTTCTTTCCCATAAAGGCAAAAAGATATCTATGTAACAGGAGCACTATTAAAAAAAGAAAAAAAAACAAACAAACAATGTTAGAGTTAGGCTTGTTTCTCACCCCAACTCAAAGATGTGGGCTGAAAGATACAGAGTCAACTCCTATACTGACTTAAAGCAGGAACTGGAAAAACACAAGTCTTTTTACTCCCAACAAGAAAACATGACTCTTTCAATCCATTACAGAAATGAGAAGTATTGAAAAATACTGAGAACTGTTTACTTTCTGTTATATTTCCCAAAGGGACTTTAAAATATTTTATACTCTTAACTGAACTCATACAGTTACACTTATTCCTGCAATTTAAACTGCAAGATACATTTGCCCCTGTAGAGGCCTTATGAATTTCAAATTGCTTTATCTTTCAATGCCAGACCTTACAGCACATGGGAGGGGCACAAAAGCTGAAGTCTCTTTAAAAGTTCTCATTTAACAAAACACAGCCCAAGTCATAATTATGAAGTACAGAATTAAAGTTTAAAATTATACTTCACAGACTGCAAATGTAATACCACCTAAAAATACAAACTGATCAGGTGATACACATTGAAACCAGCTTGCACTTTGTATCTAATTTGCCACTTTTTAAATAACCCTTCACACAAAGCCATTATTTCTGTAGCAGAGAAACTAGCTACAACCTACTGCTGCCTATTTTTATAGGCACAAGCATTTGATTAGATGACAAGTTTTGAATTCAACATTTTAATGTATTTTTAACATGCAGTGCCTGGACTTCCATATAGCAAACTTACGCCTATAGAGACACCTTTTCAGAACATCAGAGCCCACTCACCTTGGAAGCCAACCCCCCATCAATAAATAGTAGACCTGAGTACCTGATAGCACAAAAGAAGTTTTCTCCTTAGAAAACATCTTAGTCTCTGGAGACTAAAAAGGCAAAACCCAAAATACTCAAGGTAAAAAAATTACCATGTAAGGAAATTATGCTTGTTTTATTGGAACTTAAACCACTTTCTTTTTTAATAAATATGTGTAAGTGGAAAAAAAATATACAGTGGGATTGTTACTTTAATGTACAAAAGATGCAATATAGCTAATAATTCATCTTAGCAAAATACAACATACTTTAAAAATCCACTGAAATAATAGTAACCTAGAAAAAAATTTTGTTTTGACTAAGTGTTCCTAACCACTACATACGTCAGCTAAGAGATTTTATTCTGACTTCAGATTTTGTGCATGGACAACCAATGTTTTGTAAGCCCAAACCAGAAAGTTTAGCATATAAATCAATGCCAAAGGGAACCCATAACCATCTAACCTCCATCATTATCAATTGTAATTTCTATCTTAGTACATAATTTTTCCTTAGTAATTTCTTATTCCTTCCTAAGCTTTGATGTCAACTTGCACTTAGCAACACTTTTCTTAAATGTTCTTTGCCCTGTGAGTACTCCAAACTGCCTAAACTGCCCTAAATATCTTTTAACCCACCAAAGTTTCAATGAAGAACTGTGTTCCATGATTAGGACATGTCTAAGGATGACCCTGGTCAAAGAGCCACTGCAGATATGAAACAGGGCTCATTTTCCTAAGATACTGCAATGCTAAACATGAATTGAGAACCAAGAGCTCTGCATAATAAACCTCCTAACGAGCATTCCAAGGTAATATTTACACCAATAATTCTTTCACAGAAATATTTTCTTCAAGGACCCAACTGCACACACAGAGAAGCACTGATAGTACTCTCAAGGACCTATCCAGTTTCATACAAAAATAAGAATACCATCAAGCTCATTTGCTCTGTGTGCTGCATTTCACGTGCTGGAAAAGCTGCTTTAAATGCCTCAGCACTGAGGCTCTCCCAGGTCACAAACCCAACGCTGCCTCCACTGGCACCCAAGCCTCAGCCCAGGGCAGCTGACACTGCTGCAGTGGTGTCACAGCAGGGCAGCCTGGGCTGCGCTTGCTGCGCTCAGGGTGCACTTTTGTGATGATTCTTTTGGACATCTCAAGGGATTTCCATCCCCCTCTCTGCAGACTGGCTCCTTGCTGTATTTCAGAGGCTGCAGCTTCTGCTCTGGACTGCTGTTTACTTTGGAAAAACACACTCCACAGGTCAAGGCTTCAGTCTGACAGCTCTGGAAGCACATTTAATGTAACAGTGAAACCAGGATCGGTGCAAAGAGCCACCAAAAGGGGTACCCAGCACACTCCCACCTCTCTCCCCAGCTCCAGTTACCAATTCTCAGCCTCTCTTGGCAGCACTAGCACTAATGAAGGATGGGCCACATGAAAGAACTGAATCAAGCACACTCATTCTACCATATTTGCACCAATAAAACAACACATTTTCATGGATATCACAGAATCATTAAGGCTGGAAAATACCTCTAAGATCATTAAATCCAACTGTTAACTCAGCACCATCATTTACCAGTAAACCACACCCCCAAGTGTCATATCCACATGCCTTTAAAACACTTCCAGGGATGGAGATTCCAGCACTTCCCTGTGCAGCCTATTCCAAAGCCTGAGTACCACTACCACTGATAAAAGTTTTACCGAGGGAAGACTAGGCAAGGGTGGGAGAAAGGATCAAGAACACCTGCTGGCAGCAGATAATGTAGAGACAGGAATGAAAATAATCTGAGGGTGAACTACCCCAACAGTTTAAACCACCAATTTTCCAGTATGTATTCCCAAACGTCTCTGCCTCAGTGGCTGGAACCAGTCTAACACTGTCCATCAGCTGAGAGCTGACTTAGAGAAACCTGAATTGCCATGGAGCCCAAGAGAGTGCCAAGGTCTTTTAGACCAGCTTTGATAAGGAAGGATTTGTGTCAGGGAAGTGTATCTTCAGCTCAAATTCAGATAGATCACATGAAGTACCAATAACTTTAATTTCACAGATCTGAGTTTTAAGGTAAAGAGGCAAGCAGGGGAGATGTTTTAGCTGTACAGCTTGCCATATTTTAGCACAATGTACATTTCACCAACTGAACTATAACTAGTTAAAAATAAGGTGTTTCAATACATACAGGCAAGAAACCAGCAAGCAATTCAGACATGCCTGAATTACCCTTTCTCAAGCAGCCTGCCCCTACTACACACATACATTGAAACATGGAAGTTAGGTTCAGGTGAACACAAAGCTGGTGGTCAGCTCTCATACAGCGATCTCCTTGCAGATCACTCTTTTGCTGGTGTACTTGATACTTCCACAGCTAAAGGTTCCACTCTCCCTCACTAGCCCCCATGCAGTGCAGATTAGATTCACAGAGAGAGCCTAGGAAAGGCTCACATGCTGCATAACTAAATGTTTGGCACTCAAGGCCAGATCCTGGCCTTCAGGCAGTCACTGCTGAAACACAGTTGGCAACTACAACTTTGAGCAGCCCTGTCCTCTCCTCTGCCAGAGACTGCCACCCACAGAAGCAGGTACATCCTGGCTTTTTAGGGTGCAATAGGTAATACAGTTGAAGCAGTACAATAATTCTGCTGTGGCTGTGTCATTCTCCAACTCTTCAAAGCTCCGTTCTTTGCGCAGGCTCTGGCACTCAGCTCACCGTACAAATTGCTGCTTCAACTTGCAGGCCCAGTGATCCAGTGAATAAAATGAGCTGGCCCTCTGCACAGTTGGACAGGTGCCAAAGCTGGTGCATGGAAAGGACGAGAACAACTCCTTTAAGCACCTGAGAACCAGCAGGATATTGTGCAAGGATACACTCTGTACTGCATTCTGTGTAGCTTAGATACTGGAGGGCTTGATCAAGACTACTTTCAATTTAAAGCTCTGGTAGCTAGGAGGCCAATAACCTCTCATTGCCTAGCAGAAGCCTGAGGAGGCTTTCATGTGGAGGAAAAATTTAATTTACATAGAAAGAAAATACTATCTATTCACATGGTCAAGTGCTCAGAGACTATAACTCATAAAGGAACTGCCCATTCAGAAGCTCACGAAAGCCCCCTCAACCAAAAAGTGAAAGCTGATGGTTTGATTTTGGGGTTTTGTTTCCTCCATTTTAGTTTATGAGTGGTGAGAAGTGATAAAAGTTTGTTCTAGTAAACTGTACAATTAATAAATTCAGATATGTAAACAAAGTTTAGAAAATTACCATGATTTGTTCACTTGCAAATGCAGAGGAAGATTTACTTGAACACAATTAACCTTCATTAAAAAAAGATGTCCTTACACAGAAATTCCAGTATCTAAGCTTTTATAACATACCAGCTATTATAGTTGTGAATTGAAAAGCAAACAAGCCCTGGAAAAATCAGCCTTTTAGCTAAGAGCTAATGAAAAACTGAGTTACTTAGATGACACCCAAAACAAAGGAGAACAAAGTCACCTGATACATGCCAGCATGTGGCTTTACAGCACGTTTTAGTGTATTGCGGGCAAGAACTGTTAATGCCACGCACATACAAGACTAATTATTACGTACTTGCATGTGGTTTTTTGTTTTAAAACTTTCTCAAATAACCACATAAAACCTCAACAATCAGCTATGCTCATTGAAGAGGGAAAGATGAAAAGCATTACCAGAACAGATTATTAGCTTTCCACAACTGGCAAAAAAACCTTATCTAGAATAACTACCACCACTTGAGCAGTAATGGTGAAACTATTACTAACTAATTCTTGTGCAAACGATTAGCATAAAGTTTTACTTTATTAAGAGAATCCCAGCAGGCAATACCAGCTGGGAATCAAGTAGTACAAGTCCAAGCCATACATGAAATTTCACCATACTGTTCACGGGGGAAGACAAAATCTGATAACAAACTGTTTCAGGAGTCTTTAATGCAGCTCTCTATCTCTGAACCAGGCAAGGCAGTGTGGCACAAAGAGCCTGATCTCCAGTCATCACCCTGCACACACAACTGTGCTCTGCTGATAACTGAGACCTCTTGAACAGGAGGAGGGTCACAAAAGACAAACCAGGGCGTTTGGGCAGCAACCCCAATGGCACATCTCTGCCATACACTTCTAGTTCTAACACCCAAACAGAATCACAGAATTAATTAAGTTAGAAAAAACCTCTGAGATCATCGAGTCCAACCCATGACTGAATACCATCTTGTCAACTGGTATGTGCCAAATCCAGTCTTTCCCTAAACACCTCCAGGTTTGGTGACTCCAACACCTCCCGGGGCAGCCCATCGCAATGCCTAATCACACTTTCTGTGAAGAAATTCCTAAGTATCCAACCTAAAGCTCCTCTGGCATAACGCACAACTGTCCTGTCGCTTGCTGCCTGTGAGAAGAGGCCGATCCCCACCTGGCTACAGCCTCCGCTCATGCAGCTGCAGAGGGTAAGAAGGCCGCCCTTGCCATGCACCACGGCACTGCTCCAGGTTAAACACCGCCGAACTGCTCAGCCGCTCCTCGCAGGACACGGGCTCCAGACCCTTCCCCAGCTCCACTGCCCTTCTCCCCTCCTGACAAGATAACAGAGCGCTGGCCAGCCCACCCACCGAGACAAGAAGAGGAAGTCACAGGTGGGACAAGCGGGCAGTGCTCCCGCAGTGCCCGAGGGCGGGGGCGTCAGGACAAGCCCGACCTCCCGGCAGCTCCGAGGGCCCTTCCCACAGGGAAGCGGCCGCGGCTCTGCCCCACCAGGAGCCGGCTGGGGCTGCACAGGCCCCGGGGAGGCGGCACCCAGAGGTGACCCCGGCGCTGACCTTGGCGGAGGTCGGGGTCCTGCAGCACGTCGTGGGCGCGGTAATCCTCCACGCCGTGCAGCCGCAGGATCTGCACCACGGCGTTGCTGAAGCCGCAGAGCGGCTGCGCCGGGCTGCCCTTCATGAACACCACCACCGGGTGCTCCCGCACCAGCCGCTCCACCGCCTCCCGCGACCCCGAGCCGCCGCCGCCGCCGCCGCCCTCAGCCTCGCCGCCGTCCCCGGCCGCCTGGCTGAGCGGGCGCCCGGCCCGGCCCCGGAGAGCGGCGGCGGCCCCGATCCGCCACGCCGCCCGCACCGCCGCGCTCATCGCCCCGCCGCCGGCACCGCCGCACCGCGCCCGCACCGCCCGCCCATTGGCGCACGGCGCGACGGGCCGCCGGACAGCTCCCTTCGCATAGGCGCAGGCACCCGCCAATCAGCACCCACAGCCAATAGCGATGGACACAGCGTGACTTGTCCCGCCCAGCAACCCTGCGGCGGCTCCGCTGCCCTAGCGGAGGGAACAGAGCGGCTGCGGCTGCATTGGGAGAGCGACCTGTCAATCCAACGGGGACACATTAATCCCGCCCTCCCGCGGCCGCGGCTGGCCAGGCGGCCCCGGGGCGGGGCTCCGCTCGGGATGCTCGGGGGGCGATTGGCGTGCGGCCCCTTCCGTTTCCGGGTAGCGGCCGCAGGCGTGGGGCGCTGCCGGTGCGCCCGCACGGGCCCTGTGCCACCGCCGGCATGGATGGACCGGCCGCGCTTCCCCTCCTGTGCCCCCACGTCGGCTCCGCGGGCAGCGCCGAGCAGCACGGCGGGGAGGCGTGGCTGGGCGGCCCTGCTGTGCTCAGCCTCTCCCGTGCTCAGCCTGTCCCTTCGGGCATGGGGGGCCCTCGAAGACCCCGGGCCGTGCCGGCGCCGCCGGCCCTCGGGCGGGTCTAGGTTTTATCCCGCCGGCCCTTTGGTGGTGCAGGCGGTGGTGGAGCTCTCTCGGGCTGGGGCTGGCTAAGGGTCAGGGCAGATCCCGGAATAGGGGCTGATGGGGCGGGTGCGCGGGGTGAAGCCGCGGTGCTGAGGCGTGCTCAGGTGTGCAATGGCAGCGGGGCGGCCGCGCACGGACGGGCAGCGCCGCTCGGTCCGCACCTTCTGCCCTCGCAGGCGGCGGAGGCTGTATGTGGGCAGCTGGCAAACTGCTGCGTGGGTCTGTCTCATTCCTGGCTTTGGCTGTGTCCGGGGAGCGATTTGACTGCGTTCGGTTTCCCGGGTTTGGTTGATTTTTGGTGGGCTAAAGCAGGCGGTTTGTCCCTGAGAAAGTAGCGGCGCTTTGCGTGCTCGGATTTGGTGCTGAGAGGGGAGACCCGAGTAGTTTTGCACAGCTTGACTTGTCACCCGAGCAGTTGGCAGGGGTGGCAGCGGGATGGAAAACTGGGAGCACGATTGGGCTGGCTGCCTGTGCAAAAGGATGGTTCCGTCGGTGCTGGAGCAAGGGCAGAACTGCCGCATGTCAGCCAGAGAAGTGCTGGGCTTGGAACGTGTCCTGCAGACGGCCGCCTGTACAGCCAGCTTTGCTCGCTCTCCTGGGCAGATGCCGAATTCTTTCCAAGAACTTGGCGTGGCAGTCCTAAAGCAGCAGGGTCTATCCTGTAAGTAGAAGAAAATGTTGACGAGTTTTCCTCTTACTAAAATACAGTTTCTCACGAATAATAAGTCACAGTATATTTTGAGTGTTAATTTCTATTGCAGCTGTAGCGTCTGGACTTTTGGTGTATTAATGACCATTTGTCTTATTTATGTTTGTAAGGAAAAGAACTTTTACTATCCAGTTCTGTTCTTGTGAGAGCTTTGTTTTCAGCATTCAGAAGAGAGCTTGCCTTATTCTTGTTTTTTGTGGAATCCAGCTGATGCTTGAGTGACAACTTTGTTTTAATTTTTTTGAAGCCACCCTCAGGATCGCTTCTGTAGCCTTTTGTTTAAATGTGTTAAGAACAGATTCCGAAGGGAATTGTTGCAACTTGACCTTTGTCGTCCCATGTAAATAGGTTATGAATAAGTAAAGTGTTGCTGCAGTATTTAAAAGTAGATGTATTTATGAGGAAACACTTTTAATCTGAATATGTTGTGTTGCTGATGAACATCGTGTATTTTTTGAGTTAGTATGTTTTGCTTTCAACAAAACATCACAATCCAGGCTCAGCCATGGTGATCAAGACAGAGGAGTATTTGCTTTCTGTAGTTTATATGTTGAGATTAACATGGTGAAGGTTGTGAAGCATGAAAAAAAAAATGTCCTGTTTGTGCTAGATGGAACTGCAGTAACTTAGGCAGAGCAAAAGTATGTTTTCCTATTTGTTGGACTGTTTCAATATACAAAGACATATCAAGTGTTAAATGTAATATCCCAAGGGGTCTCTTTTGTCATTTTAATCCAGTATAAAGACTCCTGCCACTTAGAGCCTGCGGAGTCAAAATGGAATTAAATAAAAATTGATTGACAAAAAAGATATCTTTTTGTTCTTAAAGACAACTAGGTGTTTTCTTTCAACAAAATATTGGGCTAAGAACTGAATACTCTAGTATTTGCCTTCCTGAATTTTGTCCGAGCTATTTCTACAAAGGGATGGTTCACTAAAAATAAGTAACATAAAGACATCCGACCCAAGTGTAATAAACCCTTGTGAGTGCGTATTCTTTCAGAAACCACGTAACCACAGCTGTAGTGTAATCCTCTGTAGTCTAAGAGGTGCCCTTGGTTGCTGGTACCCTGGGCATACCAGGCTTGCAGAGAGAGCAGCAGCGCGAGGAAGCCGAGGCGTGCCTGTCGGAGCGCAGCAGCAGCATGCGCAATATTCCTCCCACAGTTGCCACTCTGTTGCCACGGAGGTAATGACTTTTCCCGTGTCATTATTGATCTATCAACAGTAAGAGCAATTTTGCAGTCTGATATTGTTTAGCAGATAGAGTAATATCTGCTGAACACTGAAAAAACTGCTATAAAATGCTGGAAAGCATCTCAGAAATGTTGTGTACTAGGTTAAATAGAAGTACTGAATTTGTAGTTACTGTGGTTTTATGAGATTGGCCTATGAGATATTAAGCTTAACAGAATGCTTTTTAATAAAATATTTAGTATGGTCAAATACTTTTGAATTATGCAATATGCAGCACTCAGAGGATAAACACTTCTACGTACTGATAAGACTTAAAACAATTTGTCCACATACACTCTAGAAACAGATAATTATGTCACCAGGTCCTGTCTTCTATTAGTCTAAGTGAAACTTCTTGTTTTTTCCAGATAATGATTTAAATCATCTGTTCAGAAGAAGCATTAATGGGATTTGCATGACTCCTGACATTTTGCTGACGTTCCTGTTAGAAGACCTATCACCTCATTTTGAAAACACTAATAAAAGCACCAGTATTCAAATTGCAGGGTTTAAATGATCACAGAGGGTTAACATCAGGCATTCTGCTGCAGAACAGAATTGTGATTTATAAGTTTGTGGTTTGTTCTCACATGGTATACAAGGAGATGGTTGTACAAGAATGATACTGTCAGCAAAAAGGTTTTTATTTCTTTTTAAAAAGGGGAGGGCTAAGTTAGCTAGTGAGAAAGAAAAGTCTCATTTCAGCTTATCAGAACAGGACATGTCTTCATGTTCAAGTCCGATATCTCTGTGTCATTCCGAGTTGTGATAGTGACTGAAAATGAAGTTCCTTGTTGTGCCCTAACAATTGAGCTCTATTTAGGTGGGGGTTTATTGTTCATTGAAGTTTTTAAGTGGGATAGCTTGAGCTCCAGCTGTTTTGCATGCCAGGTAAATAATCTCAGTGTACCATCACAGTAACGGCAGCACCAACACATCCTCAGTTTTGAGAGCATTATACATGTTTAAATGTGCTTGCAATTCTGGGTTGCTTAAATTGTGAACACTGAAAACACATCTGTGACATGTTCCTGGTTATTTTGGAATTCTGCTAGTTTTAAAAAGTTATGCAACAAACAGCAGAAACATAGAAATGCTGTGGAGGTTTTACACGGAAAGTGACATTTTGAAATCAGAACTGTACCTAGCTTCCTGTTTTGGGTCTAACCTGGAGATCTATAAGCAAGTTAGTTTCTGAACTGGATAGGTAATTAAATAATATCCATGGATTGATGGCATATTCCTTAGAGTGTTTGTGTTAGCCTTAAAATACAATATTCCATTTAATAAATGAGGTAAAGAATATTTACAAAGTGACTGGTATCCATTTAACTGATGGGAATAAACATGACCTAAGGCAGTTTTTTGATTTAAACCATGTAAAGGTACTTTTGGCAGAGAGGGGTCATGGTAATGATCCAAGGAGAAATGTCTGAGCCCCGCATTTAACAAATAGAATGGGAGGTCATGTTCAGGCTTGAATGTGGACCTTTAAATGAGGCACTTTTTAGACTTCATTTACTTCTTAATGACACTGATAGCACTGTGTGCCTCTTTGCACTGAGCTTTGTGCATTGTGACACTACCTTGAAGCAAGGACAAGTAGTATGGTCTCTGTATTAGAGGAGCAGATTTATTCTTTGGGGTAAGCAAGCTGCTTGCAACTGTTCTGGCACATGAAAATCTGTTAGGTCTTTCAGGTTTGCAGATGGTAGTGGTTCTTGAGTCTTTCAGTATTACAAAGAAAGCATAATTTTATATGTATCTCTTTCCATGCAGAACTAAGAAATACTGCCTCTAATGACAACACCTCTGGCCTCTTTTCATCCAGCAGTTAGGAGTGCTAAAATCTTCAATGGGCCTTAGAAAAAGATTGGGCAAGCTCAAGAAAAAATTTATCTGCCAAAAATAAAGACACCATTATGGTATCGAGTCCTGGGCCATAGAAGGCTGGGTGTCGCAGCATATGCCACAGTGGAGACAGCCACAATACACAGAGTATCACCATACAATTTCATAAAGCTTCAACCCACACAGAGTAACACCACTTCAGAAGGCTACAAGGATGTTGTTTAGATCCTTTTGTACCCCTCATGTTCATGCATTGCACCTGAGTGCCCTGTGTTCCTGTGGTGATGGTCAGTGCCCCTGGGCACTGCATGGCTCACTGCTGTCAGTGCTGCTCACCTGCTTCTCACAGCTGTACACCGGGGATGAGGCTGGGCTGCAGCCCCACTCCCAGTTACCACTAACTACTTCCAGCTCGGGAGTGGGATTGGCACTATGTGCATGTCCTGTTCTTTGCTTCCTGTGCTCGCTTTTGTCCAGTGTCACGGAAATGGTATCTTTGTCTCTGGTATGGTAATTTGTACAACTGTAATTTACTTAAAGTGCCTGGACACTTTACTGGAAGTGTCTTGGCCTTTAGTAAGGCTGGGAAAACCCCAGGGCACTCAGTGCCTGTAAGAAAGATTCTTGTGCCCCATTTAATGCCAGAATGCTCTGTCACAGCAGTGGTGCTTCACTGGCTCAGTTTTAAAAACGTGCAGGTGCAGTGAGGCACAAGAGCATCCGCGATTATCCTGCGTGTCGTGACCACGAGGGGGCCCTGGCAGCTTGGGTCTGGCTGAGCCCGGAGTTACACACTGGTACAGGGGCAGGGCTGATGGCTTGGTGCCTCAGTGGTTACATCCCTTCTTCAGCACTTCTGAATTGCCTCTTCTATATTATTTTATTACAGTATTTTGCTATGTAATTTTGAAAAATTCATCTTGTTATAAAAACTCAACACTAGCCGTTTGTTCTCCTCTGTGGCAGAAGACACTACCAAGCAGGTAGTTTAGCATGTGAGTTTTCATCTGTATGAACAATTTCCCCAAGTAAAAGTTCAAGAGTTTTGCACACATCACTGTATTTCTAAAGTTGAAGGAATTGGTATGAAGAATCTTAATGATAAGATCTTTTGCATATTTTAAGCTTGGTATTACGGTATTTCAATAAAGATTTTCTTTCTCTGCACACCCTTTGTTCTTTCAGTGTTTTTCTAGGAATGCGTGTTTGTGAAATCAACACCTCCTTTAATCTTGCTGTGCTTTAGACCCTGCCTGCCGACCACAGATACTGAGGTCATGTTTATGTTAAAAGTGTCCATGAGTACAGTAGGACTGTATTATCACTTGGTTGGCAGTTTTTATGTGATCTGAAGAAAATCAGACCCAAACATGTAGGAGAAACAAAATGGGAGAGGAGGATTGGGTGGGTTGGGCATACTTGCATTTGTAATGTGTGCACTCAAAGATGGAACAGAATCAAAGTATCTCTTGTGGGAGGTAAAAATGCAAATTCTTAAAGGGGAGCCCAGAAACTTGATTTTTTAGATTGCTGCAGTTAATTAAAAAGAAAAAAAAAACAAAAAACAAGCTTGTAAAACCAGGAATAAAAATATACAGATGAGAGAGGTTTGGGGTTTTTTTACGTTCTAAAATGTTTTTATTCCCTGTTTTTGAAGTATGTGTATGTTTTGAAAATCTGACTTTTCAAAGGATACTTCCAATGCTGCATATAGATACAGTGATCACTACTCTCATTGTGCACATGCAGTGATTTTATAACTGCATCACACAAACAGGTTTTTTGGGGAGACAATTATTAACTATGTGCTTTAAAGGGCAAGTATTTATTTCACAGAACAGGCAGCTTCTCCACAAATGCAAGCTTATGTGTCTTTCCTAAATTTCCTTTAAAATAATTGTATGCTTTCTAATGCTTCCCCTTAAGTTAATTTCTTGCAATTCAGTGATTGAAGTTTCCATCCTACAGTACTTTAAGTGTTTCCTCTTAAGCTCATAGTAGTCTCATTTCCTTGCTAATATCCATGGCAGCTGAGATTGCTCCCCAGCCTCAACATAGCTAGCAACTTGCAGGATAAAGAACTTGGCCCTGAAAGTTGTGTGTCATTTCATTGTAGCTCTTCTTGGGCTTGTATAAAGGCCTGCTTTATAATCAGCTTGACTTCATTTTAAACAGACAAACAAAAGCATTTTCAGCTCTGAGTTTCAGAACAATCACTTTCCTTGTCACAGTGATGCTCAGATCACTCTGAATCATCCTTGAACCCTCTTTCTTATCAGTAGCCCTTTTGCTCTTTGTTCACATATTACTTTTCCATCCTTGCTAGCCTGGGAGACAGGAGGAGACAAAAGTATACCCTCACAGCTGCTTTTTGTCAGTGTACTTTAGTTTGAGACAATCAGAGTAAGTAGATCTGTGCTCTTTTTTAGTTTCATGCTTGACTGTTGTGGTGAGTGATTTAAGGTCTGTGTGCCATGGAGGAGGAAAATAAAACTAAAGACTCCCTAGATAGAAAGTAAAACTAAAGACTCCCTAGTCCTTTAAACACTGGCTTACAACAGTTTGGTCCAGTATCTTTCCCATCCCTTAAAAGACTAGATCTAAACAAATTGTTCTACAAACCTATCATATCTGGGAAAAGGGGATTAATATTGGTGAAAATGTAGCTCCAGACTACTGAGTCTCTGGGAAATCAGTATAACAAAACTGTTTGTGGTGGGAAGGGAAACAAGGAATAATTGTAATTATGGAATGTCATATATCAACAGTTGTCTTTGCTCTCTTATTCAGGGACTTTAGAGAATATTTTCTTAAACTAGTTGTTGGTAACTTGTATAATTAAAAAAAAAAATCTTTGTGGAGAGTAGTAAGAAAGAAAACCTACTCCAGTTGAATTGGACACAGGAGATTTGGTTTCAAATCCTGATTTTCATGGAGTCTTGGCTTCTCCTGGCTCATTTGCTGAGTGCCAATGGGGGCATTGCTGTTAGTTACAAAAGTTAGCACCACATCTTCCTAAACCTACAGCCTTCCATTTTGCTGCTGCTTCCTTCACACTTTCAAAGCACACCAAAGAGGCCCCCTATAGATACTGGAAGGTGCTGTAAGTTCTCCCTGGAGCCTTCTCTTCCATTATGACCCTGACTGTGTGTTGTTCAGTAAACTACAGTGTGTTGCACCTGGTTGTGGTAGTAATTTATCAGGACTGGACTTCTAGGCCAGCATGGAGAGTTTATTGGATGTGACCAGACTTTGAGTGCATCACACCCTTTGTGAATTTGAAAATGTGGTAATTCTTCTTGAACATAATTGGAATTACAGTGTCCCATTTGTCCTGTATTTCTGTTCCTTAGAGTTGAATTTGCTCTCATTCAGAATAAGCTCAACTTTCCCCAGCCCCTCTTGATATCTGAAGTCAGTTGGGATGAGAAGGATGTTATTTTTCTGCCAAATTTAATGCAACAACAAAAAAAATTGGCTGAACTCTGAAAATGACAGGATGTCAGGACTGATCCAGTGGCACAAAGCTGCACTTTCCTGTGGAGGTAGTCAGTCTGTGCTAAGGTGTGAAGCCAAATCAGAAAAAAAGGTAGAGTGCAGCATATGTAGCAGGGAAAATATGAAATGCTGGGTTTAAGTCCATGTGGTCTCCAGGTGAATAAAAGACAGGAAGTTAGCCTGGTTTGCCAGTGTGGTCCTTCACCTAGTGCTCTGGAGGGCATGTTGTTTTGGTATCAGCTTTTAGAGTTCTTGATTCCTCACTAACTGAGGAGAAAGTTCTTGTGTAGCAACTCCCCCCACCACCCACAAAAGCTTTCTCTCAAGCAATGTGAAATGTCTTGTAGCTATAAAACAATACACAAAAAATGCTGAGAAGCTCCTGTATTGAAACCGCTCATGCTAAAGATATGTCACTGGCATGCTGCACAGAAATGTTACTCTGTCAACAAATGCTGTCCCTCCCACCCTAACTGCCATGTGACTCATTATTTGAGTAACAATTTTGTATTGCTGTACCCAAGCAAACATAAATGAAAACATCCTAATATCTTGTAATACTAGTTTGTCATCAGTTATGAGCATGAATAAATGGGTGTGTTACACTAATAAGAGAGTGCAGCTACCCTGCAGCATTTTAAGTGGTTCTCTGATACCCAACAGACATCATGCAGGCCCTCCTGTGTATTAAACCATGCCAACACTTTTGTACTCTTTGGTGCTTTCCACCCAGTCTCTTGGGCATTCTGCTCATCACAGGAAATGCCTGAAAATGCTATATATTCACTGACTAAATACTTGCGGTTTGGTTCATAGGCCAGGCTAACTGCTTCTAAAAATATATTATTTTCTTCCAAAGAAACAGAGCTAGGGCTGCTGTTCTTTCCTTTTCAGAAGCCCCTCCACCCTTCCACACTGCTTTCAGTCATTCTAACTTCTCCTTTCTCATTTAGGTGTGGTTTGTGGGCAGCTTTTTATTGTTTGAGTAATGCACTGAATGTTCCTTTACTTAATGACTGCTGTTTGCCCGTGTGTAGGGATTTTTTTCACTCAGCATGTACAAGCTGTTTGAGGGAGTAGAATCAGAGCCATGAAAGCCTCCACATGGGGAAATGTAGAAAAGGAGATTAATTCAAGCAATTTTTTAGATACAGTGATGTATTGTCCCCAACCAGCAAGCTTTCTGAATACAAGGGGTTTAAAAGGTCTAGGTAGGCAAAGTATCTTCCTAGGGGGTGATTTCCTAGGGAATTAATCTTTGTCATTAGCAGCGTTAGTTCGTCTATGATGATAACTGAGCCCGCTTTCTTAAAGCAAATTCACAAGTAAGATTTTATATTTTCTGTCACCTACCTATTCTAGACACATTCCTTTGGAGTGTAACCCTTTTAGATTGCATCCATTTCCTCACACTATTCCAAAGGTCATTGAGAGATAGTCAGCTCTGAATTACCATGGGCAGGGGCAGTTGCATAGGCATAGATTCAATTTTACACATTGTCTTTATGAACTTCCTCCAAATAAATAGTCTGTCAAAGCCAAACTAGCAAATAAATTATTTTCCAAGTTAGATGAAAGGCTTGTCTAGTAACACAAAGAGATTACAGCATTCAGTTGCCTTCTCAGTGACAATTTAAAAGATCACAGTCACCCCAAATTGTTCCACTACAGTATATACTGTGGGCAGTCGTAGCTTCAAGGTCAGAACCAGCTGTAAAAGTGCAATCCTTACCATGAAGTTCTGACAAAGGTTCCTGTGACCTTTTCCACTGCTGGTGAGGGATAGGGATTCCTGATGCTTTGGGAGCAATATAAGCACAGAGCCATTCCAGTTAAGAGTGTGTCGGCACATGGATGGCAGATCACCTTGCTGGCTGTAGGCAGAAGTGAGCCCATGAAAGCCCAGAAAATGCTGCTGGTGAAGCAGCCATCCCACCCGGCCTTAGAGAGCTGTCATCCCCTGCCCCTGGCAGAGCTGGGGAGCTCACCCTTCACTTTTGAACTATGTATCTCGAGGCTCTTGGCCATAGAACTGTTAGGTGTAATCAGATTTTTATCGCAAATAGCGCGTTTTCCTGCTCGTTAGGCAGATGAACCGCCCAACTTCCCAGCAGCAGAGGGCAGCAATATAACCCCTGCCAAAGAGGATGGTTTAGTGCTTTATGAAATACAAGCTTTTTACATGCTCAGTTTGTTTACATTGTATTATTGTTCAAATATGAAAAAGCTGTTCATTCTTTTCTCTTTCCCTCCCAGTGGCTCAGCACACAGACTCATATGATTACAACTTTCCGATACTGCAGATGGAGCACAAGATGTTAATGACTGGCTTCTCACGCCGGGCTACAGAACCGACGCTGAGCTGGCAATGCACCTCCACTGCTGCTCCTTTTGCATAACTGAGGACACGCAGTAGACTTTGTGCCTGAATCAGTACTACAGTGAAAACAGGTTTTGTTTTCTAAGTTTTCGTTGATTTTCTTTTCCCCCCAAAACTTCATGCATCCAAATGAATTCCTCTGTGGGCACTGCCCGTGCTGAGCTGGGGTTGTTTCATGCACGTGTAACTGCGGGATGCAGGCTGCCTGCCCGCCTGCTGGCTGGCCGTGCGAAAGAAACGTTAAGAGACTTCCCCACTTGTTGGCACGGATCGCCGGAGCTACCGGCACGTGCAGGGATCGCCCGGGGCTTGTCGCCCGTCGCCTTGTGTTTGGTGACTCCCAGAGCTCCGAGTGCCCCCGAACACGACCCTGGGAGCGACTCAGCTTCTCCTCTCCTGCTGCATTTTACTCTGCTAAAAACAGCAGAGTGCGGCGCTCACCCGGCGCCCCGCCGCGCAAGGACAGCCCAGCCCGGCCCCGCTGCCCGCGGCGGGGGCTCCGCGGCCGGCGGCGCTCGCAGGGCGGGCCGGCCCGGGTTACATAACACCGCCCGCCGGGCCGGGCCGCGGCGGCGAGGGCGGGCCCTCCGCGCAGCCCCCGGAGCGGCGGGGCCCGAGCCGGGCGGCCCCGCCGAGGCTGAGGGAGCGCCCGAGCGGCCGCGGCGCGGCGGGGGAGCGGCAGCGCGGCCCTGGGGCTGCCCGCGGGGGAGGCGGCGGCGCCGCGGCGGTGAGTGGGACGGGCCCCGCTGCGCTGCTCGGGGCCTGCTGCCGGTGCTGGGGGGCTGCGGGAGGGAGAAGCGACGAGGCGGCGGCGCCTGGGACTGCACCGTGCCGTGCCGTGCCGTCCGCCCGTCCCGCCGGGCGGCAGCGCGGGCAGGGCAGGCGGGCTCGGCGGGGCTCGCTGTCAGCCCGCCCGGCTCCAGACCCGCCTCCTGTTGCTCGGCGCGCCGGGGCAGAACGCCGCCGGGACAGCCCGGTCCCCGCTCGGCCGCCCATGCAACGGGGGTGGCGGGCACCGCCGGGGCCGCAGGGCTTGTCCTTGCCAGGACAGCTCCGTGGGTGCTGCGAGAGCGCCCTGTCCGCTCCTGGTGCACGTAATAGCGTAGCTGCAGTACTGCAGCATATCTCCCTAAGTAACATACGGTAAACGGGCAAAGCCTCTTATTTGGCTTCTTTCAGAAAATCGCATCTGCGAACGAATGCCAGCCTGCTTCAGCACTTAGGTGCATTCTGCAACTTTTCTTCCTCAGATAGATGTCGGGCTCTTGCCAAAGGCGGTTGTTCAGCGTTACTGTCACATTTCTTCATCTGTAGGTTCCCACTGCCAGGACTCTACTGCGGTTTGCAAGGTTCTTGTTCCTCTTCTCACTTCTCTCCCCTTCAAACCTATTGGATACATCGTATCTTGGCTCTGATTCCCCTTAAGGGGGTCTGACCTTGTCTCACATTTTCTTCCTAAACAGGAAAGTTTCCCAGTTTTTCTATTATAAGAGCATCTAACATCCTGTGCAACTTCTGTATGTAACGTTCCCCCACACCCCAGGGTATAGTAAGGCTTTGGTTTCTCATACACCGTTTTCTGCCATCTCTTTTATTTGCACATCCTTATTGGCTTGGCCTTGTGTGAGTTTAGATCTTTGTCCAGGAAAATTTTATTCGTAGAAATGGAGCTACTCAAATAGGTTAACAGACTGAAATCTGCAGGAATTATGCATGTATATGATGACTAATTGTGAAAATTATGGTTGCAGGACACCGCTTTATTTTGCAAGTTTATCAGAGCAAGGATGCCTGTCTTCTCCTTTGCCTCAAATCTAAGCCTGGCTGTCTTGAATAATTAATGAAAAATAAAATCACTATGCTACTCTTGCCACTTCCTTGCTGTTTGTTTTGGATGTTACTTTTCAGCCCTTGGCATGGTGTATGTAATCTGAAAATCTTTGTACACAGTGCTTGTTTTCTGGGGAAAGAATTTTTAAAATACCACAAAACTTTAAAAGCTGATTGGTTGCCTTCAAGTGTTTTTCTTCTTTTCCTGGAAGTGTCTCAAATCTGCAGTTGTTGAAATGCACATCGGCTTGGCACAGTCTGTGGCTGCCAAATGTGAGAGCCAGTTGGATCTCAAGGAAATGTAACTTATTGCAACCAGTCTTGTGGCGATTCTTTGTTCCACAAGAAGCAAACATCTTCTGGTGAGTCACAGCAACATTGTTCTCTGCAAACTAGTTGTCAGGAAATGGAGTCTGACAATGCCGATGGTCTCTCTGTAAAAGCAGCTTTCCCCTACACCCAGTGCTGTTTCCATGTTGTTTGTGAATCATCAGATCCGGAGTCCCCTCAAATTCCCAAGGAAGACAGAATTAGCTGCTGTTGAGGGTGTGGTATTGTGGTGCTTGCCTCTCTTGTATTTCTTCTGACAGTTCTAGCTGTTCTCTTCAGCCATATTTCACTGCTCCTTCTTTCCCTCTCCCTTGGTCAGGACTTGTACCATACCACCAAGTCCTTTCCTGGCACATATCCTCTGTGTGGCCTTTGTGCACCCACCTCATTGGACTGATGTCATTCACTTTTCTTTGGGAATAGGCCATTTTTTGTGCTCATCCACTTATTTGTGGCTTACAAATCATCCTCAAAACTGTTGTATACACTTGTGGATTCTTGGCTTCAGAATGTGGCTGTACCTGTATGCACATGACTTTGGAGAGCAATTCCACTGCCTGAGGGGATGCTCCACACCTGCATTGCAGCTTCAGAAAGATAACTGGCATCTGTTGGAAGCAAGGTTTTTTGCCATCACTTAATATATGTATACACATGAGTCTTGGTGTGTGTCCCTTATGTAATATTTTTTTGCCATTTCCTGGTTTCAGCCAAGTATGACATAAGGAGAACAGCTTCAAGGTAATTAAGTTCTTGCAAATTTTGTAGAAACAGGCCAACAGGGAAAAGCAAGTCTAAAATCAGACACTTGCTAGTTTTCCCAAGTTTTTAGATCAGTGACTGAGTGATACATTCATATTTGACAGCCTCCATTTGGGAATAATGTGTTTGCTGCAAATGAAGCTGTAAAGATAAAGGGAGAAGGATTTTCTGAGTAAATGCCCCTGAACTGGCATAACATTTTGAACATGGGAACAGAAAGCCTTGGTACAGTTCAGTGTATACTTTTAATCAATTAAGGAACACATCTCTGTAGATCTGATTTCCTGAGTTGGCCTGGTCACAGAGTGCTTTGTTTTTACATCCCTGCATCTCCAGTGCATAATTCCTGTCTTTGTTCTGCCAGGCACACATTTGTACAAGTACAGAAGGGCTATGATCCTATGATATTCTAGTGTCTTTAGATTTATTTTATTTTGACAAAATTGGCCAACAGTTTCAAGACTGCTATCATAGAAGCACCATTCACATGAAACTAAGCAAAAGAAGTGACCATTCATCCTGACTCAAAATAATGTGGTCTGGCAGGACAAATCCCAGATCATTTGTAGCAATGACAAGATACTGGATTTCTGTTTTGATTTGGGGTTTTTGAGTGTTAGTCCTTGTCAGCTGCAGATGGGGTTTTGTGGCACAGCTTTGACCTGTCTTCTCAAACATGTTCTACCATAGATAGGTGCAACAGTGTCCGTAGAAAGGGCCCCCTTATAACTGGATTGTGTATCTCCATGTAAGGATTGTGGGCCAAGTGTACATCCTGGTAATTCAGGCTTGTGAAATGAAAAGAACACATTGCAGCAGGAAAAATTCTTGAGCTCCAGGAATGTTAACAGAGGGTGCAACTGGCAAGAGAGTTTTTTGCTTGGCACATTTTCTTTATGAAGGTAAAGGTATCTGGCACCTGAGATCAACAGGAATAAATCCTGGGTTATCTAATACCTCTTTGAGTCTGGCTGAAAAAAACCTTCTTACTATCTTTGGACTGCAGTAAGTGGAATACTCTTGCTCTTGAAGGAAAGCATCTTTTAGTGCTTACTGATGGTCACTAATGCCTCAGCTTCTTCAGGCTGCAATTCTGTGAAATTAAAACATGCAAAATGGGTGGTCAGGGTCCCTTTTGATCCTGCAAGTCTGCTCTGCAAACTGAATGGTAGGAATTTAGTGTCTTCAGTTGATATTGGTTAAAGTAGTCTGAAACGACACAAGAAAAACTGAAAAGTGTCATGATGTCATCAATTGCCATTAAATGCAGTGTGTTTAAAGTTCAAAACAGCCTGATAATGGTTAGTTATAGAGTCCAAATGTCACAGCCCTAAATTTTGCTTACAATTTGGTCTGAAATACGATTTTATTGCCTGAGGCTGATACTGGCATATGCAGACTTTTCTTATAATATTTCCATAACTAGCTGCAGTGTTGACAGTATCAACTTAAACACAGTCTTGCTCTTTAGTTTGAAAGTTTACTCTTGTTTGTTTTCCAGTGTTTGTTGAGGGCATAGCTGTTGAAGTATTAAGGAAATTGAGTCTTTTAGACTGAAAGTGGAGGTCCTTACATTAGGATTGCTCCTTACACACTCTTCTGCAGAGCTGGAGCTCCAAGTCAATCCTTGCCTTCCACAAGGACTGGTGACTCTGCAACATGCTGTCTATTAGACATTGCTGTGGAGTCACTGCTTCATAGACTTAAAGTACCCTGAGCTGTGGCTCATCATATGTTCCTGTATTGCTAATAAAATGCATCACAGGATGGTACTGCCCGAATTACAGAAAAACTGCTCAGAGAGTAGAGCCCTGGGATATTTAACTTCAGGTATCTGAGGAAAGAATGGTAGGTCTAACAGGGGTGGTGGTTCTCACTGGCACCCCATATCAGGTTAATAAGCAATCTTTGATGTCTCTGTCTGTGCACACGGCTTAATTGTATTTCAAGGAAAGTGCATTGGTTTCAAGGGGGTGTGGAAACATTTCTTTGCCTTAGACAGAACTGAATTTAAATGTCTCTGCTGTTACAAGCTTCTTTTCTATGTTGCATTTAAATAAAATTCATGGACTTGATCTGAAATCCTCCAAGGTAATTTCTGTTGTGACTGTAACAGACTGAGGATTACAGGGCAGTCTCAGCCTTGGGATATCACTGAAAAGGTGCATAGAAAACATACTGGAAGAAATGTAGAGATAGCAGGAAGCTGTGAGAACGTGGAGATTGTAATTTGATTGGAATTCAGGTGTCAAGCTGTGGCTTGTTTATTTAGTGTTTATTTAGTGGTGTTAAAAGGTGAAATAGCTGCTGTTACAGTTGTGCTATGCAGAAAGCCTTTTGAGAAACATGACAGTAATTCTTGGGAGCACCAGGTGAATGAGAGCCCCACGTGGGACAGCTTGTGCTGGGGAACTTACTGTTATATGTAGTAGATATAGTGCCTGTCACTAGGGAATCCTGGACACACTTTACATAAGGCTACCTGCTGCTCCCCTTGTGGTTGATTATGATTATTATAAGAATTAAAGGGAGCTACAACAGTCACCTGGTGCAACTGCCTGACCACTTTGAGGCTGAGCAAAAGTTAAAGCACATTATTAAGGGCACTGAATGCCTCAAACACTGACAGGCTTGGGGCACTGACTGCCTCTCCAGGAGGCCTATTGCAATGTTTGACCACCCTGTGAGGCGGGAAGTGCTTCCTAATGTCCAGTCTAAACCTCCCTTAATGCGGCTTTGCCTGCCACAAGTTTGCTCTGTGATCTTGGAGGAGCATGTACAGTCAGAGGTTTAAAATGGGACCAGTGATGTTGGTTGCTTTGCTGGGTCTGTCAAAAGCTGCATTTGAAATATAGATGCTACTGAGAGCACCAGTGTCTTCATCTGTGAAATGGGACACTAACATCTTATCCCACTTGCTGTGTGTGGCAGCTGTGTTGTAGGTACCAGGTGGGAGGGTGTCACAGGTGTGACAGAGTAAACCACCCACAGTGGATCTGGGTGCTGTTTTATTTAAAAACCAACACTGGAGTTTTCACCCTAAAAGATTATCTCACACACTGACTCGCCTACTCACTCATCTGGACTGACATAAAAACAATAATAAATTAAACAGTGAAAAAAGTGTAGGGGTACTTTTGGCTGTGTTTTATCTCTATCTCACATAGAAGTGTTACATGGTTTAAAGCATTACATGCTTGTGTTATTGTCCTGCCATTATAATGAGGCAATTGTATCATAAGAACATGTGTTGTTTCTGACTGAGGAGTAGTTAGAGATGTAACAGCTGCCCTTTATGCAGGCTGTGGGTGCAGCCTGAAGGAGTTAAGAAAGCTGAAGGTGGAAAGTGTACAGACACTGATGTACCCACTGCATTTTCAAGTCAGTTACATGCAAAGACAGGGTCATGTGAGAAAATATACTCCTCCCTTAAAGTTTCTGTGACTAAATAAAAGAAATAATTTCTGTCGGTTTTGAAGCTGTCAGTTCTTCCCCAGGCTGTGCATTTCCTTTAGCTTAGATGACTGATTTTTCTTAATGCAAGAGTCTTTGCATGAGCACTTGAGTCTTTGGTAGTGAATGGCAGATGACAGCAGCTGGCAAATGCAGGTGATGTTTCGTTTGTAAGTCAGCAGAATTGGTCTATAGGTGCCGCAGGTTAAGCACAGGCTTTGTGCGAAGTACAAGACTTGAACACTGGCTAATAACACTGGCTCAGTGAACACCACAGACGCACATTAATTTAGATCTCCAGATTAAGAGAGTGCCCAAGGAAAAATTTACTTGTTTCCTTGTCTTTTAAGTCCACAGGAGTCAGGGTAGAAATCTTGGCTCTGTGACAGTATTGCCCTTGGCTTTACCAGAGCCTGGGATTTTCCCTTGTCTTCTCAGATTATAAAGCTTCTGACTCCATTAGTTGAGCTGCTAGTGTAAAATGCCAATCTACAGGAAATGTCTGCAGCCTAACAAAAATGAAAATATTTCAAGCATCTTTAAGCATCTTTGAGTTGGTTTTTTTGTGGGTTTTTTGGGGTTTTGTTTTGGTTTGGGTTTTTTTGTTTTTTTCTGGGATTCTTCTTGTTGTTGTTTGTTTGTTTTGGGAAGTGTTCTTTTGGTTGTTTGGTTTGGTTTGGTTTTGTTTGTTTTTTTTCTGCAAGAGAAATTCCTGTTTGGGATGGAGCTACCAGCAACCCTAACGGGTTTTTTTTGCTTTCAGTATTACTTTATTTCTCCCTTCAGGTCTTTTCTTGTAAAGTTATTGCATACTGTA